TGGAATCAAAGGAGCCTCATCATGGAACCAAAGGAGCATTGTGACACAGGCAAAGCCTCATGGAACCAAGGGCACAATAGTGACACTGTGGGACTCCATGGGACCAAGGGGGCATTCTTGAAGTGTAGAATCAAGGAGACCATTGTGACACTATGGGGCATCATGGAACCAAAGGTCCATTGTGACACAGCAGGGCCTTAAGGAACAATAGAGGCCATTTTTATACTTTGAGGGCTTGTGAAACTATTGGGCCATTGTGGCACTTTGTGTCCCCAGGGAACCAAGGAGTCCATTGTGACACTATGAGGCCCTGTTGGGCCAAAGGGCAATTGTGGCACTGTGCGGCACCACGGAACCAAGGGACCATTGTGACACTACAGGGCCCCATGGAACTAAGGATTCATGGAACAATGTGGCACTCATGGAACCAGAGGTCCATTGTGGCCTTGCGGAGCCTCATGGAACTAAGGGGAGGGACAATTGTGACACTGTGGGGCCCAATGGAAGCAAGGGGCCAGTGTGACACAGCTGGGCCTCATGCAGCCAAGGGGCCACTGGGATTGTGAGGAGCCCAAAAGAACCAAGGGGCCATTTTGACACTCTGCAGCTGTGGAGACCCTGAGAGGCATTCCCTGGGTTAGGGAGACACAAGAAGCTTCCCTCAATAGCTGCTTGACCCCATTGGCTCCTTCCCCTTGTTCTGTGTCCCTCAGCCACTCCCTCCCTATTCCCCCATTGGCCTCATCTTTGTACTGCCCCCATGGCACTGATCAGCCTCTACCTCTGGAGATACAGAAACCTGGGACTCCCCCCAGGAGTCCTGCCTTGTGACCCAGATCATCTCACCGCACGGCTGAATTAAACATCTGTGGGTAACATGCAAAGGCCCTTTTTGCTTCCCTACCCTGGGCTTTATTAGCAGCTATTGCAGCTGCAACAATGGTCCATTATGGCACTGTGGATCCAAGGACACCATGGTGACACTGTGGGACCTCATGGATCCAAGGGACCATTGTGACACTGAAGAGCTTCATGCAACCCAGGGCCCATTGTGACACAGCAGGGCCTCATTGGAACAAAGGAACCATTGCTGACAGTACAGAAACTCATGGAACCAAGGTGCCATGGTGACACAGCAGGCCACATGGAACCCAGGACACCACTGACATTTAGGGACCTCATTTCTGCAGGGTCTATTATGACACTGCAGAAACAAGGAGACCATTGTTGATGCTATGGAAGCTCATGGAACCAAGCAGCCATTGTGACACTCCAGGGCCTCATTGAACCAGGCAGACCATTGTGACACCACAGAACCTCATGGCACTGAGGGTTTATTGTGACACAGCAGGGCCCATGGAGCCAATTGTCCATTGTGACAATGTGCATCTGAGGAGACCATAGTTACAGCATGTAAGCTTATGGAACCATGGGTCCATTGTGACAAAACAAGGCCTTGTGGAACCAAGGAGACCATTTTGACATCATGGAACCTTTTGGAACCAAGGAGACCATTGTGACATCATGGAACCTCATGGAACCAAGGGTCCATGGTTAGACTCCAGAACCAAGGAGACCATGGTGACAGTACAGAATCTCACAGGACCAAGATTCCATTGCTATGCAGTGGGGCTTCATGGAACCAAGGAACCACTGTGACACAGCAGGGCCACATGGAACCAATGGTCCATGGAGATACTGCAGATCCAAGGAGACCATGGTGATGCTGTGGAACCTCCTGGAGCCAAGGGGCCATTGTGACACTGGGGGCTCCATGGAGCCAAATATTCATGGTGACACAGCAGGGCTGCTTGTGACCAATTGTCCATTGTGACACTGCAGATCCATGAGACCAGGGTGACACTCTGGCAGTTGATGGAACCAAGGGGCTGTTGTGACACACCAAGGCCTTGTGGAATCAAGGAGAGCATTGTGGCAGTGCAGAACCAAGGAGGCCATTTTGACAGGACAGAACCCAATAGAACTAAGGGTCCATTGTTCTACAGCAGGGCCTCATGGAGCCAAGGGGCCATTGTGAAACTGTGGGGCATAATGGAGTCAAGGACACCACTGATACCGAAACCCTCTGGACAGAATCTTCTGAACAGAGTTTTGAGTATTTGAAAGCAGGTATTCTTTATTACAGCATGGTGGTCACTTGGGCCATCCTTCCTCCATTGGAGTGCATTAAGCATTGAATGAACAGAGTTTTTATCACACACATTCATTCTGTATTGATGAGCTATCCCCACTTCCTTTGAGTTTATTTGACATAGTTGCACCCCTTATCACAAATCCTTTCATGGATCTTTGTGTTTTGTCTTCAACATTCAGTGCCCTTTTTAGGTGGCTGTTCCTTGACCCCTCCTTTTGAGTAATGGCAATATTATTATTTTGTATAACTTCTGTTGTGTTAGCCTTGCAGAGCTGAGCTGGTATCCTGCTTGTATTGTGTGTGACTTCTGTTTGCCAGAGGTGCATCCTCAATCAGTTTCTCCAAGGCTGAGCTGTTCTGTTCTACTGTCCTTGACAAGAGTAAATGTTGTTCTGTTCTCCTGTCCTTGTCTCAGTGCTCGCCCTGCATGAGGCATCTGCAACCCCCTCCAACCTATGGGCCTGGGGTGGGCAAGTGTTCCTGGGGGACAGGGATGGGACAGCTGGGCTGGACTGACCCAAGGGATGTTCCATGCCATGTCACACCATGATCAGTAATCAAATCGGGGGGGGGGGGGAAGGGGCGAGTGGATTAGGAGATTAATTTCTTTTTTCAGATATTTTTCTTTCAAAACAGCACCTACACATACAGAATCCTCTCCTGCCAGAAGTTGGTTAAACATTTTCTGCTCGTAGGACATATCCTGTGAATTTGATTTTTTTCTATTTGTGGCTTTTTCTTTTTGTGGTTGGTTTGTTTGTGGGGATTTTGTGTTGTTGTGGGTGGGTCTTGCTTTGGTTTTTTTGATTTGGTTTGGGTTTGTTTGTTTTTTATTTTTGGGTTTGGGTTTTTCCCTATTGAACTGACTTTCTTCTCATGCATAAGTTTTTTCTGCCTGTTATTGTGGCTTGCTTGGCACCTGATGGCAAGAGAAATTTACCCAACTCAGTCACCTTGCCCAATTACATTTTGCAGTCACCATTAACGAGATTAGTTCAGTCACAGACTCCCTGCAATCTGGCAGCATCCATAAAGGAATTAAAAGTACCTTTCATGCCATTTTAGAGATGATAGAAATGTTCCACAGTGGTGGCCAAGGGCTGGTCAATGAGAGATGTCACCAGTGCATGGCTGCCAAGAGGACTCTGTACCATGGATGACATTTGACCCTCATTGTTCAGCCAAATTCCCACCCAGCCCATGTTCCACTCCTTCAGCCCAGCTCTCTCCAGTCTGGCTCTGAGGAGACCACAGCAGACCCTGTCCCAGGCCTGGTTGAAGTCTGGGCACACAACATCCCCTTCTGTTCCCTCCCATGTGGGTTCTGCAGTCCCTGCCCTGTCCTGCCAGTGCCTGGAATGGCTGCAGGAGGATTTGCCACATCCCCTTCCCTGCTGAGCCTGAGCAGGCTGTGACTCTCCCAGCCCCCCTCCCTGCCCTGTGTGCAGACTGTTCCATGTCTGCCCTTCCCAAGTGCCCAGGACCGTCTGGGATGGCTCTGGCCTTTCCAAGGGGTTTGAGAGAGGTCCCACAGGGACACTGCCCTGCCTTCTCAACAGCCCAGACACCAAAGGCCTTTTCCACCTCCCTCAGTTCCAGGTCAGTGCCCAGAAAACAGCACAGCCCTGTCCAGGTCCCTGGGCTGGTTCAGAAGGGAGGCAGCTCTGATTTCTCCCCACCGACCCTCACTCTATCCAATGTCTCTCTGTGCAGTCCATGGCTGCCCTGAGCATTTTTTCCTGGAGCCTCCCTGCCTGGGATATTTCTCTCTATGCAGTCCTAACCACAACCCAACAAAGAATTCAGGTGTTTTCCCAGAGGACGTTACTCTCAGAGTGAAGCGGCCTCAAGGTCCTGTTTGTGCCACTGGAATTGTGCCAGCCCTGGGTGCTGCTGATGGTGTTTGTGCTCACTGGGGTTCATCTCCCCACACACACACATGATGCACTGCTGAGATCTCCTCAGCACAGAGCAAACATGGCCTGCTGGCCTGGTCACTTGGTGTCCCTCTGTGCAGGGACAAACAACCTCCTGCAGGTGGGGAGAGGCCAGTGCTGGCAATGGTGGTTGCAGGGGCTGGTGTGGGACAATTGCCCTGGGGCACCTTCCCAGGCTGTCCCAGAACAGAGACACAGCCCAGGCCCTACTCTGCTGCTGCCCCAGGTCCATGTCAGGAGCTCTGGCTGTGCCAGGACACTGCTGTGAGCCCCCCCTGCACACTCCCCCCCCCGCCCCAGGCACTGGGCTTTGCTGTGCCAGGGCATTCCTGGAGCACATTGCTGACAGCAGCTCTGGAGGGGAGCAAAGCCTCCCTGCCCTGCCCTCAGGAGATGCCCTTTGCTGCTGGAGCTGCTGTGCTGGAGCCCGGCTGTGTCCCAGCAGTGCCCATGGCCTGGCCCTGCCTGTGGCCACAGCAGGGACACGCAGCAGGACAGTGACCAAGCTGCCAGAGCGCTCCGGCCTTACAGCCACAGCAGGGCTGGCAAGGACAGGGTGCAGTTGGGCCGAGCAGATGTGGGAAGAGCCAGGGCCATTGTCCCTGGCTGTGCTGCTGTGCTGGGAGTCGCTTCCCTCCACCTCTGCTCACAGGCACTGCCCCTGCAGAGACAGGGAAGGGCTGAGGAAATGCCTTGGACAGACAAGTGAGGGCATGCACTTGTTTTTATTTAAATGCCAAGGGAACAAGCCTCTTGCAAGTTTTTGTGTTTCAAAAGAAAGGTAGATATTCATGTAGAAATGCTAAGAGTAATACTACAGTATTTTCTCGGAAGCACTACAGCAATAGGAAAAGTTACCATAGTAAAAAATAGACAAACAGGGGAAAAAAGGCTGAGATGCTAAAGAGTTATATTCTGAAGACTGTGTAGCAGAGAAGAGAATTTATTGCTTCTGAAGTTGCAGTCACCAGTTTTCCCAAGGCATCCTTGAGCTCCTGGTTCCTCAGGCTGTAGATGAGGGGGTTCAGAGCTGGAGGCACCACTGAGTACAGAACTGACAGGGCCAGATCTAGGGATGGGGAGGAGATGGAGGGCGGCTTCAGGTAGGAAAATGTGCCAGTGCTGATAAACAGGGAGACCACAGCCAGGTGAGGGAGGCAGGTGGAAAAGGCTTTGTGCCGTCCCTGCTCAGAGGGGATCCTCAGCACAACCCAGAAGATCTGCACATAGGAGAAAACAATGAACACAAAGCAAGCAAAAAATAGAACAGCACTTAGCACAGTGAGCCAAAGTTCCCTGAGTTTGGAGTGTGAGCAGGAGAGCTTGAGGAGCTGTGGGATTTCACAGAAGAACTGGCCCAGGGCATTGCCATGGCACAGGGGCAGGGAAAATGTATTTGCCGTGAGTAGCAGGGCATTGAGAAAGCCACTGGCCCAGGCAGCTGCTGCCATGTGGGCACAAGCTCTGCTGCCCAGGAGGGTCCCGTAGTGCAGGGGTTTGCAGATGGACACGTAGCGGTCATAGCACATGACTGTGAGAAGGGAAAACTCTGTTGTGATAAAGAAAAGAAAGAAAAACACCTGAGCAGCACATCCTTTGTAGGAGATGTTCCTGGTGTCCCAGAGGGAATTGTTCATGGCTTTGGGGACAGTGGTGCAGATGGAGCCCAGGTCGCTGAGGGCCAGGTTGAGCAGGAAGAAGAACATGGGCGTGTGCAGGTGGTGACTGCAGGCTATAGTGCTGATGATGAGGCCGCTGCCCAGGAGGGCAGCCAGGGAGATGGCCAGCAAGAGGCAGAAGTGCAGGAGCTGCAGCTGCTGCGTGTCTGCCAATGGCAGCAGGAGGAAGTGCCTGGTGGAGCTGCTGTTGGACATTTGTTCATTCTGGGCATTGTAGACTGTTGAAAGAAGACACTGACAAGCTGGGACCAATTTCTTTGAGTCAACGCTATGGGATTGTTTTAGTTATTCCATCAAAACTACTTCTCATTCTGTGGGGCCACTTCACAAAACATTTTTATATTTTAGCTTGGCTTTGTGCTACTGAGTTATTGACTCATCTTCAGCATTGCTCTCAGGCTGATCACTGCGAAGCCAAGAGGGAAAACAGGGCTCCGAGTGCCCCAGCGCAGTCAGGCCTGCTCGTCCCACACAGATGCCCTTTACTCATTTCACCTCCCTCTAGTTCAGGGTGATAACACTTAAAATGTGCTTGAAAAATTACATGGAGCTTTTCAAGACAGCAGTTTCAATTTCTCTAAGCCCTTCTCTCTTTCCCTGTGCAGCTGGACATTGAGGGATACCAAGGGTTGGCCTGGCTCTCTGCTGCCTGGAGTTGTACATACTGGGAGCTGTTTCTCTCTATCCAAGCCTTGTCCCTGCCAGTGCTGCCAGAGCCCAGCCCAGCCCTGGGGGCTCAGCTCTGCCCTGCAGACCCCTCCCAGCACAGGGCACTGCCCAGGGGCATCTCCCTGGCAGCAGGGCCTTAAGGGCAGGCCAGACAAACAGAGATGCTGCAAGCCAAGGAGCTGCTGCTGCTGTCTGTAGGGAGAGGAGGCTGAGGAGGCACTTTCTGAGGGAGATCAGAGGCTCATCTGCTGATGGCCATGGTGACAGTGCAGGAGTCTCAGTGACACAGCCAAAGCTGACAGCCCCTTTCCCTTCCCTTTAGGAGGAAGCTGAGAGCAGCCCTGGCCATGCAGCACCATCTCCAGAGCAGGAGGAATCTGCCCTGATGGGGGTGGCTCCTTCCACCTCCAACTTCTCCCCTGCAGCGTCCATGGGGAGCTGCCAGGCAGGCTGAGAGCTGCCCCTGGCAGGTGGCACATGCCCTGGGCTGGCCAAGAGCCCTGAGGGCTGCAGGAGCTGCTCTGCAGGACAGCCCTGGGCAGCCCTGGCTGCAGCCCCAGCTTCAGCACCTGCAGCCGTCCCTGGCAGCAGGAGCCGTCCTGCCCTGTTCCTCTGACGGTGCCCAGGGCAGCCCCGCTCTGCAGCACATCCTCCTCCTCCTGTTCCTGTGCCCCAGAGAAACTGGGAGAGTCCTCCTGACACATCCCTTAGGCTGTGGGGTGTGCTGGCTTCAGGAGATCCCCCCAGGAGCACAGGGGACATTGCCCTGCACCCACACACTCACCATGCACAGGGCTGTGAAGATCTTCCCCCAAGTGAAGTCTCAGCTCAATGTCTTCCCAATCCTGATTGCCTTCAGCCTGTCTCTGCCTGGCTCCTGTCCCTCAGTGCCTGCAGGCAGAGCCCTCAGCCGGGCTGGGCTGGGAGAGGAGCTGGCCCTGGGAAGAGCTGTTCCTTTAAAGCTCAGCAGCACAGACACAGCACAAGGAATTTAATGAGCCTCTCAGAGATCTGGTGTTGTTTACATCAGACTCAGTCCCTCAGAGAGTGTTCAAAAAAGTTCTCAAGAACTCAAATTTAAAATGAAACTTTGAAGTTTCTTGAAGTTTTAATGGTTCCCACTGAGAGACACAACTGAGAAAGTGTCCCCAGGTTCCAGTTAGAGCAGAACACTGGAGGCAGTGATGACAGCTGGGCACAAACAAGGCCAAGGTGTCTCTGGTGCTGAGCAAAGCTGGATGTGTTTGAGGAATGCAAAGGGCCCAGGCCTGAGCCCCAGCCCCTGGCCAGGCAGATGCTGTCCCTCCCTCCTTGCTCAGGGCTCTTGCCGGGATGGGCACTGGCATGTGGGGATGTGCAATGGCAAGGGCAGGAGCATGGGGCGGCCCCTGCCAGGCTGCTGAGCAGGGACAAGGAGGCAATGAGGCCCCAGGCCTGCAAGGGTCACTTGTCTCCTGCTCCTGCCTCAGGCCCAGGCCCAGCAGCCATGGCCAAAGTGCTGCCCAAGTTGGCTCTGGCAGGGCTGTCTTGCAGCTGCTGCACATGCCTGTGCCCTGTGCAGCCCAGGCTGTCCCACGGTGTCCCTGCCCTGCACAGCCCTCTGTTATAAATGAGAAGCTTGACTAGGCCAATATTCAAGCAGCAATCAATTTATTATTTAACATGGTAAAGTATGAGCAATACAACGCTGGGTACAGTGGGGGAAGTTTTCCCTCCAACTGCACACCGATAGTTGAGGCTTACAGGTATTTATAGGGGTACACATAAGCTTTCTCAGCAGTTTCTATTTCCAATTTGTACTCGTCAGCAGATTCTATTCCCAATTTTTACGTCACATTTCCATACATTATTGGGATTTAGTTTTTCTCAGGATGTATCTGAAAAGGAGTATCCCCAGATGGTGGTGGTCCAGTTTCCGAAAGAAGAAAGATGCATCCCATCTGGTGGAGTCCAGCTCCCCAGATGTGGGTCCAGCTTTTAATTGCAGAGACTATAAATCTTATAATAGTGATGTCCAGCTTTCCTTGGCTGAAACTATAAATCTTTGAGTTGATGTTCATCTTCCTTTCTCAAGCTGTTTTTCTCTGCTTTATTAAAGTGTGAGATAAGCATATTTCCTTTTTATATATTCCAAAGCTATAGTTTCAAGGATACAAACAACAGTCTAAAATTATACTTCAAAAGGTTAATATTGCAGAACTCTTTAAGGCTTAACTAGAAGCAAAGAGCAACATCCTTAATGCTTTAATTCAAATGCTCCTCAATCAACCAAGGTTTATTGCAAACAAAAGATAGGTTCAAAGGCCTTCTTCCATGCTTTACTTTCCTCAGTTATTATTAGAATTTGCAACTGTCCCATTGTTGGTCTCCATATTGCAATCACAAATACTCACATTGCCTGTATGTACCTGACACGAAACACAGCTTTGTATCTCACAGTCCTCCCCCTACTTGTATAAATTTTCATTTATCTTTCTCATTCGTGTCTGGGCTTCAAATCTGGCCAAAACTTTGGAAGCTTTTCCCTTTTGGTCTTCTTTCTTTAATCTCATTATTTTGTATATCTTAGCTGTTGTCTCAAGTTTGCCAACCTCACCTGTAGCCAATTCCGGGTCTACCATAGCAATCTGCATGCTTTGAATGACTGAGTGGATTAGTCAGATAAAACATGGAAAAAGGCAAGGTAGAAAGAATAACCCAGCTAATGAACACAATATCATGAACCCTATTTTCTTCTACCAAGCTCCTGCTCCAAGCATCTGGTCCCACCATGAGGCTTGAAGAATGGAATTCCATTTTTGGACTGGGACATGAGCCAGCCTTTTGATCTCTGCTGCTAAACCTCTGATGATTTCTCCATAATCATTAATCTCAATGCAGCACTCGGACTCATTGAATTTTCCACACACTCCCCCTTCTTCGGCCAGCAAATAGTCCAATGCTATTCTGTTCTGATACACAAAAGCCCGCACCTGAGTCTACTGCCAGCTTAACAAGTCCAGGGCCTCTGAGGAGTTATTTGAGACTATTTCTACCACTGTCTGTAGTCTAATCAATTGGTTCAGTAGGTAAATCGAGGTCATATATCCCCAGCTTCCATCTTGAGCCCAAGTGGCTGGCCCATAATAATCTATTATTCTTTCTGCTAGCCACTCTTCTTCTCCCCGTTTTTGGTCCCCTCCTGCCCTTGGAAACTCAAGTTTCAATTCTCTTTTTTCCCTGTTAAGGTTTTCATATAAGGGTGCTCCTAACAGGTTACTCTTGGACTTTGGTAGTCCAAAGAAGGAGGGTTGTATAATCCCTAAAGTACAGGATCCTTTCCATCTACGGGGCAGTTCACTGTAAGCTTTTTGCCCACAAATCCAATATATACCATTTGGGGCTTTCTATGGTCATTTACAGCCTCAGGTTTTTCCCAGTAAATTCTTAGGGTCTCCAGGGATTGGTAAGGGTTAGCTCCAGGACTTTTATGCCAGGACAACTTTATCTGGTTGTTCCATTTGCAATTTTTCTTCTTAATTAGGCTCCAGTATCCAGCAGGAGGCGTTGGCTGCCAAGTTCTAGTGTTATTCTTTGAATTTACTGCTAAAGTAGATGTGCAGGGAGTATACCCTACCACTTCAGTATATTTTCTCCCCTCTCTGCTGATGCAAAGTGTTCCAATTATTCGATGATTTGAAATGCATTCTTCAGGCTGTTTCAATCTTTTGGAAATTTGAGTATGGTTCTATTTTAGAAATTGCTCTGGAGCTAGACTCTCACCGCTCCATGGCCATTTTTCAGCTGATTTCTATCCCCCACAAATCCAATAATTGGATAACTCTAATTCCGTGGCAATTTCTTGCATTATATCTACAAAAACGTTCCTATTTGAAGTCAGAAAACCCCAATCACTATACTGCTGTTCTAACTGTTTGTACTGTTCACTAAATTTATTTAGCTTTTCTTGTTCTAGTCTTTACATTTTTGCTTCTGATTCTTGCTTTTGTAGTTTTTGAGTAATTTGTTTCATTCTACTCTCTGGGTCTCTTTCTTCTCTGTCCTTTGCTAAACAAAAGAATTTGGCGTATCACAGACAAATTCGTTCATCATCATCTTTGAGAAGGTTGATAAACACAGGCCCATCCTTGGGAGAAACCTTCAGTCCGTGTTTTAAATTCTCTCCAACCCAGTATAATTTGCCACCCATAGTGCACATCTTTAATTGGTTATGGTCATAGCACACTTCACTAACATGGGAATGTGCCATGAACATTGATTCCATTTTTCCCCTGATCCAGACAGTATGATTGCATTTGTCACAGACAGCCAGAGCAATAGGCTCTGATCCTGCAGCTCATGGATTATGTGGAGTTCAGGAGTGAGGCTATTAAGGCCCATTGCCTGGGATGCAATGATCAATGCAGT